AATTTAATTAATTATTTCTAATATATTTCTGCAAAGAAATTGTGTAAGCTGTAAATTATATTGATTAAGATATACACGTACCCAACATGCACAAACATATATGTTAGATACCGCCAGGCTTGGAACCTCTTGTGTGGATTATAAATAAATAATGTAGCTGCCGGGCCTTCTACAGAAAGAGATTTGTGCTTAATCACATCATATATGAACAAAATGATTTCTATTATCGATATGATTATCATTGCTATGGCCGGCGGTCGACAGCTGTACTCATCTTCGTACAGCCCATCCGGATAATCGCTAGAGTACAGAGAAGATTCCGTTATTGTACTTGTTTGTTGTTGTAGGCGTTGTAGATCGGTAATACGTGAAGAGCGGCCTCTTTTACTACTAAGCATGGCAGCCTGGGAAGAATCGCCGAAGCTCGAAGGAGAAGGAGGAGGTGGTGGTGTGTGCATTACAATACTGATTTGTCGCTGAGGATAATACCTCGAACCCACGGAAGTTTGCCTCATTGTGCGAGTTGGTCGTTGAGGTATCATAGAATGGACGTATCGTTGCACGAGGTTTCCGAATATACCTTGCATGTCTTTTCTGTGGATCTAGAATAATAAGAGAAACGATTGCGATGAGCCATTGACAATTTTTTGTAATATCAATATGTATTTCTTGTTATCACGAAAATGGAAAAAAAGATTCGATTTCCAGTATGTAGCAATTTTTAGAAAAATCTGAAATAAACTCTGACCAACCATTGCTATGAATTCTGGATATTCCAAGTAACCAGAATCATCCAGATCCGCCTTACGCATTATTGTGCGAATCACCCCAGTAGGAATATCGTTACAAAATTCTGGACCACATACCATCGCTTTTAGCTCTTGTAGCGATATTTTCCCATCTCCATCAAGATCATACTTTTCAAAAATATTTTTCCAATGCTGTAGAAAACAAGAAAAAATAATTTAATAATATATTAATATTTTTGTATAAATATAACTATTTAACACAAATATATTAGTATTTTTATAATTTGTCTTAGGTTGTGACCAAATGTTATCAATACTATAGGAATGATAGTTTTTTTTACAAATGACTCATACACATAAACTTGCTCATACATATGAATCATTTGAAAGTAAAACTTTATATATATAAGCTGATATACAAGTAGTTTAGAAAAGAATGAAATCTTGCGATATAATATATAATAAACATGTTATAATACAGTAATTAATCAAAAAATGAATATCTTATACATTTTTTTAAAAGATAATTTTAAAAGATGTGAAAAAAGTCAAAAGTGCTAACAAAACATTACATTTATATTATTGATGTACTTGATATATAAACAGTATACAAAACATTACTTACGGCTTCATTATACTGCAGCGGGATGGTCACTGCAGTCTCGCCCTCTCGATTAGTCGACATTTTTATCAATTTGAAACCTCTGAAATGTAAACATTACTTGCGTTAATACCTGGATATTCCACATCTTCAATAATCGAGCACATATTTATAGTATCCTAATTCCATATGAACCAACGCAGTAGATTTTTCACTCTCCCTGCCAAAGTTCTGTATAGTCTCTTGCTGTCCACTATTTACTTACTAATGATTATGAAGGATCTATGTATGTATATATATATATATACATAGAAGGAGTCTTTAATGAGAATAGATACCGAGAGACTGAAGATACTCCTAATTCCGGTCGAGACGCACCTAAAAGATCGAGAATTCCGCGAGACGAACTCGCGCGTTAACAGAGGAACACGTTTTACCTGACAAACCGGACACAGGCGGCCCTCGTTTCGCACGAGGATAAGGCGTGACTTGGCTCACCTGTGTGTACCGTCTCTCGTGAGTAGCCGATTCTACTCAACTCCACATTACATAGGTCGCGATACCTCACACACATACACACACGCACACCACGTCATTAAAACTCGTGTACTACATATTGAACGGTCATTCGGTCCCCGATAACGCCGGCGGCGATGACACATTTCCCCTTATCTCGAGCAAATACGCGCGCCACGGACAATCGATAAAGCCGATCTGTTCACCACGTTGCTTCCGCCGACGAGTGCCGCCTGTCACACGATGTATATATCATGGTATGCGCGCCAATATTCAGTCAAATTCTATGTATATATAGATGACGTTTCCTCTATAATGACGTATCCTAACCTTCAAGCTGTTGTTAATCTTGGCAGATTGTACCAAATTCTCTATGCACTGAGGAACTTGAACTTATCGAGATTGACTTTTGAAAGCTTGAAAGAGAGAGAGAGAGAGAGAGAAAGAGAGAGAGTGAGAGAGGATAAGGTATATAGGAAGCAGGAAGAGAGTGCGCGCCATCAGCGACGTGTCACTGACCTCTCACCGCGTCTCTCCGAGAGTCTCTTTCTCTCCCAGTGACAGATCGAATTTTCCGCGTTCGATTTATGCTCGCAGATTTAACGGCTCGAGTGTTTTAACGAGCGTAACGGGACTCGAAACGACCGGATCTTCTCTCGCAGGGAAACGCGATAAATACACTCTCGCGTATATATAGGCTTTACAAAGATACGAAAAAATCATCAGTTAGAAAGTATGTACTACGAAAAAGTTAATTAGCCTCTTTGACAGTTCCTTGACCTTTTCTTTGACAATCGTCTCCCCCCCCACTCATCTCCCCCCGAACCCCGGTTCCGATTGATAAGACAATGGATTCCGGAGATCGGGTGTCCTCTCTTCAGATAGCTTCTTTTCTGTTTTTTCTTTTTTTTTTTTTTTTAGCTGAATCGTTTCGCGTAACTGTACTCTTCTTTTGAAAGATACGCGTTGTTGCGCGGTTGGAGTTACTCCCATTCACGCTACTCACGTGCGTCTAGCACGTCTGGAAGGGATTTTGCGCGCTATTTCGAGATTATACGCTCATTACAAGGAGTTCCATTGTAATTATTATACATTTATATAATATATAATAATAAAATAATATAATATATTATATGTATGACACCCTATAATAGATAAAATGGGGCCTGAGAATTTTCTGTTTTATTCGGATAACTTCTTTTTCACAGGTACAGGATGTATTCGAGACAATTCAAGGTTTTACAACGCACACACACACATACATGTCAATATTATTACGCCGCTAATACCAAGAATACTCTCGTCTAATATATCGAGACATGACATTCATCATTTCTTAGCTTGGCGCATTACACATAGTGACTCATCGGAAATTCGCTAATGATGCTACAAAGAGGAGGAAAAGAAACTCTTTGCAAACATGTAAAGTAGGAAAAATATATGCCTATGTCACGATTACATATTGTTTATATGATATGAATTTTACGCGCGGTACGCAATATAATTAATTTTTATTTTTTCTGCATATAATTAATTTTTCAATAGAAAACCGAGAAAAATTGTATCTATTTTTTTCCTTGCGACGACTGCGAAGAATACCTCGAATTTGATTTCACATATGTCAGCGACGTCAGAGGTTGCCTAGCGACGAACGAGTCAACAAACGAATCATTTTGGATCATTGATAATCGGAGAACTGTGGCTCAGCGTTTTGCAACAACAATTGAATCGTCTCATTAATATTACGTGATAATTTAAAAATGTCCTGCAAAGTGGAAAAAATGAAGATAGCTGCGAGTTACAAAGTGAACGAACCGATACATAATTTGAAGATAAGGTGGCGTATCGTCTAGTTCTTTTTTATATCAACTCGACACATGAAAATTAAAATTAGTACTAACACAAGTTTGAGAGCCAAATTCGACTTTATGTGTTGAGAGAAAAAAATTTCGTTTTTACGTTAAATTACTTTTTACTTTATATTACAGTTGTACTGTATATACGTGAAATATACAGGGTGTTTCAAAGTTAAACGATCAAACTTTGCCAGTTAACTTAGAGATAGAATTTAATTTAATTTAATTTAAAAAAAATTAAATATATGAAGCTGTTAAAAAACGATGTGTATATTGACGGAAAAATCGGATCGCAGAATTGTCAATTCTTTATATTCTATATGTGTAGAGTTGATAATTCTTCTTTCTATTTGAATCCTTAAATTTAAAAAAAAATTTTTGTATTTCAGAAATATCTGCATATCTGATAATATTAAACCGGTATGAGACTCTTCCGAAGGCGTGAAGGTTACGAAGAAGTAGCATATTTATGTGATGCATTAATTTTCCGTTTATCTTTTGCGATGTATCAACTTCTTCGTTCATCCATTAGACCCGTGTATCTATGAATACGTTTATATAATCAATCAAAATGCAAGGTCTCGTTGTTTTTCATTTAACTTTATCGCATTTTTATACGTACATCATTAAACGATCCTTAATTTTCTTGGAGTAATAAATACTGGATTAAACAATCTTTACACATTGTAGATAATTCCGCATTCCAGACTCCGCGAAGATTAAAGACGCGAAGGTTAAAATCGAAGGACAAGTTTGCTTGTGTCGATGTACGTGAAAACTTAAAATTACCGATGTCGAGATCATTATATAACTATGTAATATCACGCGTATTACCTTTCTTTTTTGTCATCGTATTGCCGCTTGACATTTGCAATCGTAATTACGAATATCTTTTGTTTCAAGATAATTAGATTCTTTGTTTCTTTCTTTTTTTTTTTTATGAATTGACTTGTTATACTTTTCAGCAGAATATTGCGAGGAATCTCATGTGTTGTATTTTTTTATATTGTCATCTTCATAATAGACAATGATAGGAAGTTTCAACGTTTTGTAGAAAATTTAAGTATTGTGAAATATTTTTTTATAATTTAAATATATATTCAAGAAAAATATTTATATCTGTCGCGCATTAATCTCTTTTATTGTACCGAGAAAATTTTGAAAGTTTTTTTATACATAAAAATTAAATGAAGCTATTGGCAGGACTTAACGCGCACTCAATTTTTTCCATAATTAATTCACACATATATGGGAGGAAAAAAGCAAAGATGGAATAGAGCGGTATTAAATTTTTCGTGTTTTCGCGGAATCGGGAAACGATGAATTCCGGACACACATCTGTGGCCGCGGATCACCTTTTCCGATTTACACCAGATATCATTTCATCAGCGTTCGTTTGTTGTTTCAGAGTGCGAGTCGCTCAGCAGAGATCTCCGTTGGCCGAGCTGTTGGCCGAGGAATCCAAGGGCGGCGAGACCAGAGATTCTAATTTCTTGGAGGAGGAGGACCGTATTTTTAACTGGCAGGAGAAAGTGTTCGGTCCATTCGAGATAGATTTCTATGCGGATGAGAAGAATTGTCTGACCGATTGTCAGCGGGAGTATCACCGGCGTATCAACGATGAGCAGCTAAAGGGTGCCCGATTATACTCTTACACAGAGAACGACTCTTACTATATCGATGACGATCTTTTGACAACACCTTACAGGTAGGGATTAGATTTGTGTGACTTTTTTGGATAATTTATTGGTATACAGAGATAATTTTTATTCAATTGTAACAAATTTTTAAAAATTATTTTACGCTTATTATAACGTAAAACTTGTAGAACTATAAAACTAATTTATCCATTATTTTCTATTATCTAAATTACCTCTTTACATTATTCGAATAATCTGGCATTTTTTTATCGGCTAGGTAATTTGAATAGCTTAATTCAACTCACAGCTTACATGAACTTTTATTTATTGATAAAACATACTTTATATATTTTTCGACTTTTATTTATTTCTAATTATTTTCTTTAAAAAAAAAAAAGAAACTTTGTATGCCCGTAAATAAAAAGTTAATGCTAATCTATTCAAATAGTTCCTCCATATTTCCTATAAAACTAAACTTTATCTTCTCAAAATTTTTTGTATATAGGGTTAAGAAATAGGAAAAAATAATCTTTAACAATTCTGTTTGATTCTTACAGATCATATTTGTCGAAGAAGAATCAAACCGCGCTGCCGGCCATGCAGAATCGTAAGCCCTTCCGGGAGCGATACAATAAAAGAGTGCTAGACGACAGATCCATAAAAGCCAGAATCCGATCGAGCCATTATCTCTATACCGAACGTATTAGCATGCACGTGATGGCTGATCTGTCTCACAGAGACGAGCCTGTGATCAGCGGATCGGCGGACTCGGAGACGCTTCTCTGCTCCGTGACTTATGACAAGGCACGCAAACAGCTAACGATTAATCCCGATTTCACGATCGACGACGAACGCGAGCGGCACTACAGTGTCACCAACGGCCACGGCGTCAAGTTCAATTATCGGATCGAGCACGTTTCCGCGGGACCGACGTTGACGGAATTGCAGGAGCAACGCGAAGCTATGCGGCGTGTAAGTATGCGGCTATTTACGACGGACGATTTTCCGCGGCATTCCAAGCTTCCGCGTCACCGTGGCCATCGCATCAAAAAGATCAAATCTTTTCATGGAAAACTCAATCTCGACATTCCCGAGCGACATCCGTTTATGCGGCGCGGTTACATTTATACCCGGCAATTCTTTCCTCCGATTCTGACTCATTTCTTTCTGACTCTTTTTTGTGTATGATATATTACTATATTTACGATAATATTAATTATAATGGTATAATATTAATGGTAATAGAGTACAATATTCGCTTGCACACAATATATATAAAGCAAATAGTAAGGGACAAATAGAAAAATAGAAATTAAGGCCTTTTACATTTTTTTTCTGCAAAATTATCAATTGTATTTAATTTGTTATATCATATGATTTTTTAATTTGACTTTTTAATTATTATAATATATTATATGTTAACCTACGAGAGAGATCAATGCGTATACACATTTACAATCTCTGTGAAAATAATATTGTTTAATAGTAAATTGCTATACTGAAATTAGAAGTTTGTCCGTCATCGTTACTCCGCGAAAAATGAATGTGCAATAAGACACACATGATGCAATTATATGGGAATTCGCAACGATGACGATTGCGGATTATTTGCACAAACGATATTTATACAGTTAAAAATCTTTTGTCACAAACTCCTCTTTCTCTCTCTCTCTTATTAATTGTATCTTTAAATATACGCACAGAAATAAAAAAATTATATTAAATGTATTAATATTTATGGAAGTCATTAATATTTATCTTGGCATGATATTTCTGAAGGAAATAGTATATAGTAATTAACCAAAATTAATTAGTAATTTTAATAGATCACACATAAAAAGAAATGTAATTAAAATAGCACATGATTTACTTAAAAAATTTGAATACACTCGTCGAATTTTCTTGATGAAACAGTCCTCGATTATGCGGTAATGTTCGGTCAGATATGAATAAACGACGACATGGCACGTGGAGAACGTTGTTTATCGAATTGAAGACGATGAAGCAATTTAACATACACATTTATCCACTCACTTGTGAGCGAGCTCAATTACTGTTAATTCAGTTCGAGAGTTGCGAAAAATCACAGCGAGTTCGTCGCAATGGGGACAATTCTTACCGTTTGTTTTCAATATCAAAAAAATGATGAGAAAAATTTCATGTTTGTTTATACGATTAGGCGAGTACATGATCGAAAACTTCGTTAATCAGAAAAAAAGGATACATACCCCACGTAGGAAACTTCCGACATTTGTCGCATCGCTCTCTGCTGAAAGAACATGATTGTCGTGCCGAATTATTATTGTAGAAATTATCCTCGTCCAGAAATTATGACATCTTCGAAAAGATCCATCCGTTCCATCCCTCTTCTGATCGTTCAAGACACACCCAAACGATTTTTGCGGCCCATCGATTTCATTGTACTTTCGCGCATGATAAATAATTAATGAAGGAACTGTTATCGAAAATTAGCTGCTCGGGATATATTGATGTAACAATCACGTCAAGTGTATCACGATCCGCGCACGTATATTCATAAAATCAAGTTGACTATCGCACTACCCACGATCAACTGAATCCATGGTTCTCTGAATGTCTTCTTGAACACTCTCTGCCATGAGGTTGTATGTTAGTGCTATCAGCCTATACGTGTGTATATATAGTTTACAGTGTAGTCACTGTGCACAGTGGGGTAGGAGTATATCTGCAAACACAGAAGCAGCTTTCACACACTATCCTACGCTAAATAGAGGATTAATCTACGTTTGCACATCGCTGCATCACTGCAAAGTGACGGGATCGGATGAGTGAATTTTATTTTGCGCGATATAATAAAAATATATACACAGATCATATTAGAATTGGCTTGAAACGTTGTCTTATAATTTGAGCATTTGCTCGTTCAGCAATTTTTCGTTAACAAAAGCGATTTCTCTTACTGTGAAGGAGTTCTCTACTTATATATATCTTTCAAAATAATCAAATATGGAAAGAAATATTTTTGACATTAAACATATTTTGCGATATAAACGTGTGCAGTTAAAAATTATCAAGCTGAATAGATTAATTATAAATTATTTAAATATTAATTATTAATTAATTAAAAATTAATATTTTTCTTATTGCAGGAAGTACAACAAGAGGTTGCTTATAAAGAAGCAGAGTTATACAAGGAACTGCAATTGCCACCGGCGAATTTATCTACTCTATTTTTAAACTTAGATATTGTGTCAGCTCATGGTTTCTCCTATGATGGATTGTTTATTACCTATTTTATCGATTTGCCGCAACATTGGACTACAAAACAGAAAGAGAGATTATTCGGAAGAACGCAGAGGTGTCTTTTAGAAAATAAATCGGCGCATTTTAGTTATTGTACTGATATATCCTTGCATTATCCATCAAATGAATCTCAACAATTAAGTGGTGATACACACATCGGCAATACTTTGGCCCCTCGTTTATTATTTTCCGTGGCGTCTTTGGATAGTTGGACCAGGTAAAAATCAAAGCTTTATTTGTTGATATTAAATAAAAATTAATATTTTTATTTAACTTGATAATTTTACGTTACTTTTTATATCTATTTTTTTTATTTTTTAGATGAAATTGTTAGTTCAAAGAAAAATTAATCAATCTTAATGTATAGGTATCGAATAGAGGGATACGCGGCGTTACCAATACCAATGACACCTGGTACATATAAATTTACAGTCCCTACATGGCGTGCAAAAGGCAATATCATCGATGCGTTGAGACGTTTTTTCATTGGTGGTTCTTACGAGCTCGAAGATATTACATATTGCAGTATTCCAATAGTGCATGAGGGTAAAGTTTTAGACAAATCAAATTTAAGGATTATATCAAGTGGAGATATTGAAATTAATATGAATATTATAATTCAAAATGGTACACACATGAAACATTTTAATTATGAAATCGATAATTCCGATAGAGTAAACACCGATGCACTTATGAATAATGTTGAAAATGTTCTTGAACAATTTAAAGCGGCTAAGGAACGCATGATACGAATAAGAACGATTAGTTCTTAGATGTAAATTACTCCAAATAATGATAATTAAAAAGACTGATTAAAATAAAGTTTATAAATAAAATGTAAATCTCTTTGTGTATGGGAGAGATATAAAAAATAATTAAGTTAGAAATTTATTTTTTATTATGTATATATGTAATATGTTTTATATATAATATTCAATAACATATATATTGTATAGTTAACTTTTGGACAATGGATGACGAGATGACAGTTCGTAAATGACACATGAAAAATGCCAGACAAATTTTTACTCATAGTAAAATGTCTTTTGTCATGTATATTATATATACATATATGTATATATATGCATCTATGTATGGTCTATGTATAAGTATGTACGTGTCCCAGAATAAATTTTTATATTCTATTTTATACTATATTTTTTTATTGCATTATATTTAAAAGTTTAAATTTATTCGCGAACCGCAAAATACTTATACTGATTGGTAAATTACATTGTTTAATTATCGATTGTTGATAATTTGTTGACTACCAATAATATAAAACTGTAAAATTTAAATTCGTGCTACTCCTTTAATAATTATATTCGCCCGATACTTTTCGTCATTTAAGAAAGCACAAATTTAAAATTTAGATATTTTTGGAATCGCGTACCTCTTTGCTGATTATGATATAATGCTGATCTTTTAATACTTAATTAATTATTGAACTAATTCTCTTTTAATGAAAAAATTTTAATAAGAAATATATAAATTTGTTTTTAATTAAAAAAAACTTTTACTGCACTGAAATACGTACAAAGATTTAAAACAAAATCTGATTTTAAAATCTTTTTACACATGCACATATGATGAGTTGATGAGATCTAAATAGCGTCTGCTAGCGTTCGCACTACTGCGCATGCGCGGGATTTGTTCCTCCGTCCTCCGTCTCGTAACTCGTAACGCTGCAACGACCGAGAACCGGGAAGGATGTTAAAATAATTTAAAGCACAAAATATATAATAACAAAACAAAATAAAACTTTCGCGCCCACAGCATAACCTTGTTATTACTGCAGATAGATACGTCGTTGCTAATGGTTGTCATGGCCGCGCATGCGCGAAAAAACCCGGCCCATCTCACAACACTGCCGGGAACTCCGTTCCGCACTGACATGACAACACACAAATAATTGTTATTATTGACAGACCGATAATATGTGAACTGAAATTTTTTGCGGCGCGTTTCCGTGCGTATTTTCGAGAACACGCTTGGCGGGTGTAAATACTTTACGGGCGACTTAAGCCCGTCGAAAAAACGCGGAATTTCGCGCGAGCTTCATTCAGCAAAGGCGAGATTTTTTCCGTCAAACTTGCCGTCACACGCGAGAATATAGGTTATGTGAGCTGCCGAGTTGAGTGAGTGAGCGAGCAAGCTCGTCGCACATCCTTGCCCGTTTGTGGTGAGCTTCCCCGCGCGCGATGGGCCAGGGTACGGAAACGTGCGCCGACCGACCCACGGAGGTTAGCGTCATCAGATTCGTCTCACGGAATCGTACTATTGAGGAGATCGCGCCGAAAAAGGTGAAGTTCACGGGGAAGAAGCCATTGGTCGCGTGGGGTTGATGACCCCTAAGCCAAAACAAATAGTATAATAAACTGAAACGGGTGTAAAAACACAAAGTTTTACTTGATAAGTTTTGCTTTGTCTCACTCTTTAGCGTAAATTCAATAGACATTCTCAAAATTCATTAGACACGCTCGCAATAATGTGTAAAGCAATAATTAACTTTATTTCTTTGTATATATTGTGTGTTTTACTAAGAACATATATATATAAATCAAAATTAATCAAAATACCTGGGCTGTGTTCCGATATTCATTGCCAATACTAAAAACCTATGAGAGTTTTTTTACAAAATTTAGTAGATATCCTATATAATCTATCAAATATTAGATTTTTTAGAATCCCAGTTTGTTCAAACCTCAATGCTGAAAAGCATGGAAATAATTTCTATATTTATTAATAATGTAAATCATGTAATAAATGCACAGAATATATTTTGTAATATTTAGATCAGCATTTGTCAAAATTGTAATGTATTATATTCTTGTTACATACATTTATGAAGAGAAATCTTACTAACATTAAAATTATTTTCCGATACATAGGAAGTATATACCTGTAAACAACAAGGTTGCGGTAAGATATTCACCAATCAAGATGAATATAAGACACATGAAGTGCTGGAAGCTTTAAAGATTCGATTTATGTGAGTTTGAAATAAAATTTATTATTTGTATTGAATGGACAAAAAAGTAATATAGATATTTACAGATTTGTTAATTAAAAATTGTAATTAAATCATTGTAATTAAGATTCTATCATGAATCATTTCATTTAATAATATTTAATTTAGAATCTCTTTTGGGATTAAAGTTTCTCTAATATCTATCTGTAAACTTTTTATAGTTGTCGTGAGCCAGGTTGCGGAGAAGAATTATCAGATCCAGGTAGCATGTGGCGACATTATCAAGAATGGCACAACAATGAAACAAATGTTTTCGCATGTCCATACACTAATTGTGGATCTTTGCACACTACTAGTAGTAATCTCGAGGAACATATTGAGAGTTGTCATAGACAGCCACCTACACTGCCAATGGAGCCTGAGATAATTTGTTTTGAAGGCCCCGAGAATGTGATAGACGAAGAAGGCATGCAAAAGACTGACGAAGGATGTTACGAAAAACTGCCAAGCGAAAACTTTACCTTAAAGGAAGAATATGGAAGTAACGAAGAAAGTTGTCACATTAGAGACGAGACTAAACTTCAAACAAAGAACGACTTTTGTCACGAGCAGAATAAGATCGCAGCTCTTACAAATAGCGAAGATTATTCGAATAATGAGCCTTTGAATGGTATTAATAAGTTCTCTAAAAGTGAGGACCTACTTATAATTAAGGATAATTTCTTACGAAAATACGATACCGTCACACCAAAGTGCGAGGAAATTCTCCAAGTGGAATGCACGCAAGACAAGAATAATGTCGTTTATATAAACGGTGACATAACTATCACAAAAAATATGAAAACGGAAGTGTGCAATTTAAATTTACGAAATCAAGAGCATAGAATAGATTTGGGAAACTTGGAGCGAGTTTTTCGGAATGGTCTCGAACGTGAGAACTCGAAGATCGAGGACAGCTCGATAGAAACAAACAGCAATTGTTCGGATGACGAGGAATACACTCCGAAGAAACAACGCATGTCTAGGTACAAACAGGAAACATATAAATGTGACGTCAACGGTTGCGGGAAGAAGTACAAATACATATCGCACTATCGTCATCATCAAGACAGTCATAAATTAGTTACGAATACAATTAGTTCCAATACTGGTAAGCAAGTGTCGAAGGTAAAACAAGGAAAGGCATCCACTGTCAGCTTCTTCATGTAAGTACAATTATATTTCTCATTGGTATAAATAAGTGGTTAAATCCGCTGCAGCAATATGCACCTGTAATAACAAGACTTTTGACTCTCTTTCTGTACTGATTTTTACTATTTTATATTATGTCATTTTTATGTAACTTATATTCCCTTTATATAAAATTATATATATATACATATAAAATTATATATATATAATTATATATATATATATGTAGTTATATATATTATACTATAATAGATATATCCTAATGACGTAAGTATTGTATAGCATTTTTATTTGTATGTCTGTACGTTTAAAAATAAAGTGCAATATTAGACAAATATAAAAAAAAATATCTTACCAAATGATACATTGACTTATATATGTACATTGAGAATTATCTTTGAAAACGCTTTTTTAATATTTGTTATGAGATAGCCAACACGACATATATATATATATATATATTTTTTTTTTTATATAAATAAAATCAGAGCCAGAATTAGAAAAAGATATATTTTTAATTGAATCTTTATCTCTTTTTACACATTATATCATCTGAACTGAAAACAATTCTCATTAGATATTTAGCAATAAAAGTAAATTATTTCTTTTTTTTTTCAAATTCGTGAAACATTGAAAATCAATGTTTTTGACCATAATAGTATTATAAGATGTTTATCATTTTTTACCGCGTTTTATAAGAGGATTTATTATATATTATAATTATCATTAATAATCTAATACCACATACCTTGTCGATTTCTACGGCTTCAGCGAGACGACGCAAGATTGAATTTGGCGGTCGAATGGCGTCCCGGAAATTCGCAGGCGTAGATTGCGCGATCTCCAGTGCACTTCGCTGGTTCGTCCATCCGTCCGTTTCGTCGTCGATCGCAGCGATCGTAGCGCAGCGCGATTCGCTCATACAAGCGGATACGTATAAAATGGCGAAGTATAGTTGTTATTTACTCGCGCCGCATATAGCGAAGTGAGAACCGAGGAGCGAATTGGGGGTCTCACAGTCACAGTGCGTCATATCAAGCTTGGTCTTGCGTGCCGACGAAACAGTGTATACAGGCGATCGTGAGTATCGCTGTTGTATGTTGGTTTTTGGAATCGAAACGGTTATTCAAACGCGTGCACGAAGAGAGATCTTCGTCGCCTGTCGCCCCCCGTACAATGCCGTACGTGTCGCGTGCAAACGCGCAGAGTAACCACGTGTTCTTTCGCGATTTCGAGCTGCCGTATCGTTCCTCGCTACGAGATAACGTGTCGATACCGGCCCTCGGCGATTAATCCCCGATTAATCCACGCGGGGCGAGGTTATGAGAGTCCCCCTCGCAGCGGAAGATCCCGCGATTGATCCCTGATTTGGTCGTAAATTACCGTGTCTACTTGTCGTTCCTCCTGCGATTAGCATTCGTTTTGCGTCCTCGATGGAGATTTCGATCGATCTTAGTGACGTCGTCGCGAGGCAAGGTTGAAGCGCGGCTCTCTTTGTCCGTTGATTTTTTAGGTTATGATCAGTGCGGAATTGAAATATCGTTTCCCGTATATCGTCGTCTTCGGTCGGATTAAATTTACGCGATCGAATATACTGTTTTTTCTATTACGAGTTGCATTTTGGGACGGTATAGAATCTTGTGTTAGCTCCCACGAAGATTAGGGTTGCAGTTCTATTACGTGTTACGATTCATTGCAAACCTTTCTTTGACAAGAGTGTCTGCAGTTAATTATCTCATTTTAATTACATTTGCGATTAGTCTCTTTAGAATAAATATTAAATATATT